TATTTGTTGTTTTTTAATTTAGAGACTGTTAATTAAAAAGTTTTTTTTATTTATTTAAGTTTAAAATCAGAGGACAAGTCAGAAGGAAGGTTACCTTTATAAACAGGCTACACCTCGTAAAGTAGCAACAAAAGTATATAGGTTATACTTTTATCCTAAAATGGGTTCAGAATACACACACTGACATAGTTATCTAGAATAAATCAACCTAATAACCCGAGTAAAGCCAGTACTTTGGTTAGTAAAGTTATATAGATGTTTAATCATGATAACACGAGTTTTGGTGTATAAAGTTATATATGTGTTTAATCATGACAACATTGGTTTAGGTGTATAAAGTTACCTGGATGTTTAATCATGATAACATAGGTTTGAGAATATAAAGTTATATATGTGTTTACGAAACCCTATAATTCGAAAACTGGTAATGACTAAGTAAGTCATCATTATAGTGTAAGAAAGGTGGGGTGACGTCATGGTAGGTTACAATTACAACCCGGAAGTGTTTTGATTAGGATTGTTGCACGGGGGACTCATTTTTGTTTCGTAATGCGGCAGGTAATCTTAGTTATAAAGAGGTTAGAGAACTTTCGTTAAAAAAAAGGTAGAGGAAAACTATACTGGGTATTGATAAAGTAAAATAAAGATATGATAATAAAATGATTAACAAGAAAATGTAAAGTAGATAAAACTAAAGGATGGTAGAGAAAATGCTTGATAAACCTTTTAAAAATATGAAAAAATATACGAAAATATCTTTTGAATATTAGTATATAACGTTGGAGATTTTAAAAGCTTCTGGATGACTAGGCCTAGTAGTAGTTACTTATTCTTTTGCTTACGTATGATATATAAAATACCCCATTTTCAAACAAAGAATATTTCCGATAAACATTCTGTTTTATATTCCACATGTTACAAATTACTTTGTGCAACATACTTACATTTTAAAATTAGTATTTACTTAAATCATTTAACGTTAAGTAAAGATAGGACATTCTTGGATCTAGATGAAGGATGCAAATACTGGAATATGGGTGTAAGAAGAGATTTCGACTTCATCAACCAAGTCAGTGGCGCAGCAAGAGGGGGCAGTCACCCCCGGGCGCAGGTGTGAAGGGGCGCTCTGACCTATAATGCCTATTAATTAATACTTATGCCCTCCCCTAGGATATGGCGCAACTGCCCTACGTTAAGTAAATACGACAAAGTGTT